ATTGTCTATTATGACGGTTGTTAAAATTCAACTTTTCAAAAATCTGGTTTTCAATAAAAAGCGCTACTTTGCATGAGGTCGGGTTGTATTCATCAAAATTATGTAATTGAAACGCCTCATTTTCGGAATTTTTCTGCTCCGTTTTAAATTAAACCTAAACATTTTGACTTCAATGTGATTTCGAAGCACAGCGATGGTTTGAAAGAATAATTCATTCATTTGCACAGTTTGGGAAGCTGAGTGGAACCAAACATTTGAAACGCACTTATTTGAAACGCACTTGAAGCTAGAATGAGCTAGAACCAGGCGCGGGTCTAGGAATTTCTCGAGGGAAGGGGGGGGCGGATTTTCAAAAAACATTTGAAATTTTGACGACTTTTTTTTGGTCGACTAAATTGATTTTCTGAGCTCTCTCAAACCACTAAAAAGACACTAATTTGACCAAATTTTCTGCGCCGCAGCAAATTTTTGAAAAAAGGCCAAAAAAATTGCGTTTTTTTGGCGCGCGCTCCCCGCTCAAAATTAGTATAGATTGGCGCCCAAGGCGCCTTTAGAAAATTTTTAGGGTCCGTCAGCAAATATGAATATCTCGAAATAGTACAAAGGGTGACCCTTTGGGTCGGCAAGGGGTCGAATCCCTGAGGGGGGTGGGGGTAGGAAGCGTCAGGCCCCCGCCCTCCCCCCCCCCTAAATCCGCTACTGGCTAGAACTTAGCTAAACACTTGGCTATTTAAGTGCATCCAATTTTAAGGACTTTTGCAATGTATGATTTGAACACTTTTTTTGTGTACATCTATCTGCACCAATGAACTAACTGAAAAACAAGATGACATGACAAACGGTTCGTAAATTATTTATATTTTTGCTAGCTTCTGACGCTAACGATTAGCGTAGTTTGTTACTGCCAACCTTCTTTTTTCTAACCTAACTCGCAAATAAAAGTATTCATTGGAAGTGGAAAGAGTTAACATATTTTGTGGCACTTTTGCTATAATCGCCAGCTAGCGCTAGAAGTTTCATGGCAACTTTTCTCTGCTTTATTTGTGGCTAGTGTTTGTGATGTTTTACGCGTGAGTGGTTAGTGAATGATACTCATAGTCTCTAGGCGCTGTAAGACGCAGATAGAATCCGAGGCCTTGTCCATTTCTTACTAATTCGAGGCTTATTTCTACTTTTTCTTATTGCACTTTATAGGGCTGCTTTTTGTCGTGTTCTCGAGAGTGTTTGCGAAGCGAAGTTTCGTCTCTGTTTTCATTTGACATCTTGCTGATGTTGCAATTCATTGATGATAAAGAAGTAAAACATTTAAACTTCAAAATAACTATATATATTTTGCTCGTTGCTTTCGGTTTATAAATTTTCTTTGCACAATGATTTTGTTTGCATTGAAGAACTATTATATTGTTATAATTCCGGGGTTTTATGCAGAAAACGGCCCAAATTATGAATTTTTATATCTTGAGCTAATATTTATGCAGTTGAATCTGATTTGCTAATATTAGCCAATCAAATTCAAGCAAAGTAGTCAGACAATTCAATTCAAACTTCCAGCAGACAAAAAAATTAGCCGGAAGTACCAAGTTGTGAAATTATTTTTCAGTGACGTTGATTTGAAGTCGCTTGGGAACTTTTACCCAGACGAGAAAACTCCAGTAAAAGCTTAAGCTGAATAAAATATTTATAATTTTGGTTATTTCCTCCAACAATTTTATCAGCTGGAAATTTTGATTGAAATGCCGGACCATGTTCTTTGACTTTCAGTGTCGAATTATCCAATCAGATTCAAACTTACTAATTATCCAATCAGATTTAAACTTACTAACTTACAGATTCAAACTTACAGGTAAGTTTGAATCAGATTCAAACACACCTGTGTGGGGGAAAACTATGGTCTAGAGTGAGTTTTTTTCGAGCAAAATCAGATTCCACAAATATCAATCATTAGGAGGTATAAGTGTGGTATCATTTTAAAGCCCTTGTAGTTCTGATGCTGACGCGAAAAAAATCTCAAAAAAGAATATTGTTCTCGATGTCGAGAAAAACGGTTTTGAATTTTTTGTTTTTCATTTAATTCACCTGGAGGATTCTGGGTGAGCGACTGATACCTTATCTAGAGTTCTACTGCAATTTGTTACATTCTTCTAGCTATTATTTCCCTCATTTTGCAGTTTATTATCTAATTTAATATCCCCACTATCTAAAAAATTCGAAAATTTTTGTTGAATATACGTTTGTTTCTCCATCATGCATGAGTAGCTTTACAGAATAGTCACATTTTGAGATAAGAATGATTAACGCGTTTTGATTTTGGGAAAGGCCTTTTCAGTGCCTAAAACTGTCCGGAATGAATCAAGAAATCTTGGTTGACCTGTTTATTACCGAAGGTATCTTAGATGTTGAGAACACAGCATCTTTTGAATTGACTTCGTTGGAAACCGGACTAACTCATGGAATTATTCGTTTTTCCTCGTCTGTGGATTTTGAACCACAATCCAGAAAAGTTTTCGAAAACCTGAAGTCCAAGCTCTCGGCTGTTATCGACCAATCTAGAAAACGAGGAGTTCAAAGCAATGGTTCAAGGTCCTTGACCTTTCACCCAACCAAACATAGAAAAGCCGAACATTCTGCAGGCTCCGAGAGTACTATGATTGACTCGGGTAACCACATCAGTGGGTTCCAGAAAATAGGATCGAACGAGAAAATGTTCACGTGCGACTTATGCGGCGCGAACTCGAAATCGAAGGCGTATCTCACAAGACATGTGTCGTTAATTCATAAAAGTACAACTCAAGCCTTGCAATGTGAGATGTGTAATTTCGCAACCAAATGGTCAGAGAGTTTGAAGAAGCATTACGTAAACGTGCACAAAATACCGAAAGTTTTTGAAATGAACATATGAGTTCAGCGTTGTCCAACTAGCGATCTATTTGAGAACAAGAAAACAGTTACAGTTAATTTTGAGCTTGAATTATCAAATGAGCTTGATATGTGATGCCTCTTATGATCAAATGAGCTTCTTATATGATATAGTTAAACGTTTATTATTGAGAAATTTATGCGTTAATTATGCTGTATTATCTAACTTTATCCGGTTTATTCAGCGCATTTTTCCGGTCTGTCATTTAAGAATAAAATATGAGTGAAGATGGTTCGAATCCCGTTGGTTGTCTCCGATAGTTTTTTGCTTAAATTTGGGGTTTCCTTATTTTGCCCAAAAAAAAACAAATTGAGCTACATTTTTGACTTGGAGAAAACTCTAATTAAAACAAGGATAGCCGGCCGCTGTGCAAGTAGCGCAGAATGTTCCAATCATATTCTTCAAAAAGACAACAAACAAAATTTTTTCTCTTAAATTATTATAATTTTTTGAGCGCGGTGTGATCAAAAGACCTCAACGAAAGCCGTGAACTGAGACTATTCGACAGTCATAGTAACATAGGCATGAAGAATGAATGGGAAAAATACCAAAAAAAGTTTTTATTCCCAAGTTGACGTTGAAAAAACTTCGAAAACTAACTTTATTTGAGTCAACTTAACTTCCCAGGGATTGAATAAAAAATTCATGGCTTCTAATTTTATAAAAAAGCTTTTTTGTTCCGATCATTGAAAATGGGGAGGAACTCTGTATTCGGGCGTGTTTTTTGTTTTTAATTTTTTTCACGCAAAATCAACTACCACAAATATTCATCAGATTGGATCGATTGATTTAACATATTGAAACCCTACCAATTGTGATTCAAACGACATTAAAAAATTGCAAACTGTTAAAAAAGCTTAAAGTCTTTGAGATTTAGTATAATTTCGAGCGATTAACTTCGCTATATGAAATTGGACATTTAGGCTCAGAAAAATTGATATCTTTAAACAATAAAAACGTCATTTAAAGCTTCTTTTAGTGCTTCATGGGTAATAAAATTTTACCAAAAAAATGAAAAACTTTTGTGTAGAATTTTTTTATTTGAAATTTTGTTAGTTATTCATTTTTTGAAGCCAACTAGTTACGGTTATGGCTAAATGGGTAGCTTTCTACGCGTTAGTGTAGTTTTCTTGTCATCATGGGAAAAGGACATCAAAATGAAAAAAAAAATGTAACACTTTTTTGTAGTTTTTATGATTTGGTCGGAACATTGTGTGCAACTTACATACACACCGGTTTTCCTTGTTTAGCTCGATTTTAAACTGAAAGTCAAGCTGGTTTTTCTTAATACTGGGAAAAATTTCTGGAAATTGCTTAATGTCATTCGAATCAAAACTGAAAGAGCTTTAAAAGGATCTATCACCTGATTCTGCGCGGAAAAAAAAACGTACATTCACCCGCAGACAAAGTTCCTCGATTTGCGATAAATCGAGCAAAGAAAACCATCGCAGACTGTGGTATCGGACCTGCAGTATGACTCTTATGCCTTTACCAGTTGTCCACAGTGGCTTGATCCAAGCTATCTTCGCTCATAACTTCTTAGAGTTTACTTGCCGTCCCCTTTGCATCAACCTATTGCATCTACTTCACGACATCAACTTTCGGCTGACCGACCCTAAGATTTATTGAAAGGAACCGTTGGCGCTAATATATGTTAATTTTGAGAAAGGAGTAGCTGCCAAAAAATTTTTTTGGTCATATTTTTCCATAGAGTGCACAAAAACGGTTCTTATATGGCTCTTATTTAATGTTGTTTTTGGAAAGCTCGTTAAACGAATTTAAATTTTGGTCGATGGAGCCAAACGAAATTTTGGTCGATGGAGGGGGGGGGGGGGGCTTTGCTATCTATCCCTCGTCTTTTGTCATACGTTTTGAATGTTTTGCATGTTTTCAATTTAAGGCTTGACTTAGTATGATAAGACCCTCTGCCTAAACCAACACCCAGAAAAAAATCATTGGTTGAATTTTTCCTGTTTTGTGGTTGCACAAAAATTCCAATTAATAAAGCTTCCCTTCGCATATATGCATCAAGTTAGCGTTCGTATAAAATAAAGTCCTGAGTTGCGCTATTTGTTTCAAATATTTATTGTAATTGCTCAATGATTCCCAGATCTTTCAATTGCTGCATGAAGTAATCATTTCCAAATCCTTTGTACCCAATTATCTTCTGGTACAGATACGAACTGAGTCTCGGATATCTCTGCTTGGTCTCAGAGTCAAAGTCGGTGCAGAACAGACCAAAATTGATATTATAACCATCGCCAAAATTGTAGTTATCCATTAGAGACCAAAAAGTATAGCGAGTTACTGGAACTTTATCTTCGCTGATCGATTTGTACAGTTCGCTCAAATGAGCAACCATGAATTTGATGCGATCGATGTCGATGACGTCACGACATCCATCGTCGCTTACGGGTGCAGCATATCCATTCTCAGTGATGTAAATTTCGAAGTCAAATTTTTGCCCGTAGTTTGTCATTATCCAGCTCATAAGTTTTCTCAGACCTGCTGGATAACCTCGGTTGAAGAAAAGTTCAGTTTCGATCCAGTTTTCAGGGAATATCTGATTCACAGATTGATCATTTTCCATACTGGGTTCCTTAGTGTATATTTGGTCTATATAGCTAATTTTGTCTCCTCCGTAGTAATTGATCCCCAAGAAGTCAAGTGTTCCCAGTAAAGACTCTTTATCGCCATCTGAAAAGACTGGAAGTCTGGATTCTGAAAATCCTTGGTATTCGCTTAGTTCGGCTATCACATTCTTCATGACACCTGGGTAATCTCCGGTTCCCAAAAGTGGCGAGAGAACCCAACCCAACTGGAATTGGAGCATCTTTTCGGCCGCAATTTGATCAAGGTGTGAATCATCATTAGGCTCGTGCCACGCAGAACCGGCAACAATTCCAACTTTGCCTCCTTGCGACGCTTTATACTTTGCATGGTACACGTGGTAGGCTCTGGCGTGAGCTAACAACTGCTGATGAGCGTTTTGGTACGTCAAGACACCCTTTGATAAAAATCCAGGGGCGCAGTTGCCTGTCTCGTAACATAAAGACGTCGTAAATGGCTCATTGAATGTAATCCATGTTTTAACTCGGTCTCCGAATGTTTTGAAACAGAAATCGGCATATATTTCAAACCACCCTGGTAACTTTTCAGAAGTCATCCCGCCCTGATTTTGCAATTTCTGTGGGAAGTCCCAATGCGATAAAGTGACCATGGGTTCGATTCCAGCGTGGATCAAACTGTCGATGACCTTGTTGTAGAAATCAACGCCATCTTTGTTTACATCTGTTTCCGGGTTTTCAAGTACACCATTAGGCAAAACTCGAGGCCATGCGATTGAAAAACGGTAATGGTCAACTCCGAGTCGCTTAAGGTTTTCAAGATCCCCGTCTATGAAGTAATAATAGCTCTCAGTAGCCTCATCGCCCGTTCCTACTTTCATTTCTTCAGGCGTGTGGGTGAAATTATCCCAGATGCTATACCCTTTACCCCCAACATTGTACGCCCCTTCAGTCTGGTAGGCGGACGTTGCGGTGCCGAATTTGAAGTGTTTCGGAAAAGTACCTGCTGCGAATGCATCTTCGATCGAGTTGTTAAATTTTGTCGGGTAGACGAAGTAGGGTAATGAATCTGCTGACGATTGTGAGAACGGAATTTTGCTCAAGCTTCCTGGTATGCACAATAATATTACACAGCAGATCAGCTGCATTTTGAATTAAGTTCTTTCACTGAAGCTTCTTTTAGCCAAACTAGCAAATTAGTGTTGTGATCTTAGATGAGCAATATTTTGTTTAATTTTGTTTTGCTTGAAACTATTTACTAAGTTCAAGTTTCAAATGATAAACCAGAAAAACCACGAGATGTGATTTTGATTGAAGAAAATGGGTTGGCTGTTTATACTGAATAAATAAACAAACAGATCCTTGTATCAAAAAGACCATGTTTGATTTGAATTTGGTAAATGATCTTTGTTAAAAGAGCAAAGATCAGAAATGATTATTGCTATTATGACATCTGTCTGTTATACCAGCGAGATTTCATTACAGACAGAAAATTCACCTGGGTAGACTTAAAAACACCCAAAAGTCTGAAAAGTCAATATCTGGGTTTAGAGAGAGATGAAGCATTTTGCGTCTTGTTTGCTTCTCGCAATTCTCGTTTCCTCTACTAAACACACATACACAAGAGTTCGGTATCTCTGTTCTAGTGCATCATGGTTTTTACTTTGCCGAATGGCAAAAGATTGCAATAAATGCACGGGGGATGAAATCTTGCCAATTGGATATAGACTGTATATAATTGATAAAAATTCATTGGGCATATTTTAAAGGTACCATCACGAAGTCAGAAGTCTCGGTTCAACTCAAGAGCATTCAAATGGTCGCGGTTGTCAAATATGAGTACTATTTCGGCATACTCGATACCGCTGTCGCAAAAGGCAGAAGCTCTCAAATTGTTTCGGTATTTCAAAATGCCTAGAAACGATTGGTGGTGCGAAGCGTCTTTCCCTTGTTTTCTGTCGATTTAGAGCTCTGTTTATCACAGATTGGAATGGTAAAGCTGATTGCATTGCTTTTTCGTCCGCCACAGATTGCAGGCAGCTTGCAATTATACTGCTAATAACCGGCACTCGCTGAATTTTGGTATCTTAATCACTTTCTGAACAAAAATTTGTGCGTCAGATCGTCCAGGGAAAACTTTGTGGCTGTGGTCATTGCGTGTAGAAATCAGATCATCGCCAAATGTGATAGCTGTCAACTTGCTGTCAAATTGTGGAAGTGCCATCTTCAATATTTCCAGTGTTGGTTTCCATTTTTCGCCTCTTGCCCTTATTATATTCGTGGCGATAAAAAAAGAGTGCGAAAATTGCGTTGTGATAATCCCCAAGAAATTGAAATTTGGCTCATTTTTGTTGCAATGTTGAATGAGAATATAGAGAGAATCAAACAAATTGATTTTTGCATTCATTCTGCTCTAAACTTGTAAAAACTGCGGATTAAACTTAGTTAATTGTGATAACGTACAATCGGTTGGCAGGGCGCTAAATTGCGTCTTCACAACAGTTAGTTTGAACTTGCGACTCAATTGAGTCCTAAATTGTGACCTTAACTGAATTAACAGGTGCAGGTTTTAAACTTTTACATGAAAGAATAAAACTAATTGCGAAGCTACAGGGCTTAAATAAAATTAGCATAGGATCATTGGATAGAAAATATGGTAAAATGGCATAGGTCAAGTTAGAACATAGGTTCAAATTGTGTAGAGCAATTTAGCAGAGGATAAGATGGAATTGCGTAATAAATCCTGCTACCAGTAAAAATTGACCATGTAAATAGAACAAGGTTTATTATCTGCTGTCCGATGACTTTGCGAGCATAATTTATAACGTTATTAGACCGGGATTTTCAAAGGAGGCCTATGCTTTGACTGGTGTTTTAGCGAAAAGGTTAATTATTGTCATCCATTGCCTCTTTTTTGACTCTCTTTTATAGTTTGCCAATGGCGCCTTCGACTGGAGTTCACTGATTTTTAAAGGTTTCTGTTGCAAGAATCAGCGTTATGAAAAACGAGATTTATATGGACCTCGTGGTTTCAGAGGGTATTCTTGACGTAGACTACGAAGTGACATTTGCGATGACGTCATTCGAGACTGGTCTATCTCACGGAATTGTTCGTTTCTCTGCTCATCTTAATCCTGAGTCGGCTTCAGAAAATCTGATCGAAACTTTAAAAGCTAAACTGGCTGCAAGCTCTGAGCAAAACAACCGAAAGCGAACCGGTAATGATTTACGGCCTTTTCCTATTCACCCTAACAAACAGGGAAGACCAGGCAATGTAACAGGTCCCGCTGAAATGTTTGATTCGGGGAACCACATAAGTGGGTTTCAGAGAATCGGCTCCAATGAGAAAGTATTCACTTGCGATCTTTGCGGCGCTCAGTCAAAATCGAAAGCCTATCTTACGAGACATGTTGCAGTGATCCACAAAAAGAGCACAGAAAGTATGGCTTGCGAAATGTGTCCTTTTACAACTAAATGGTCGCAAAGTTTGAGAAAGCATTACCGAAGAGTTCATAAAATACCTCAGAAAATTATGAACAATGGAGTTGAAACATCGGCTGCTCCCAATTGGAGTTTTGATCAGACAATGAATTTTTCTGAAGCTAATTTTTCGATCCCTGAAATGGAAGTTCTCAACACAAACACTTTCAGAATAAAACGTGATCCTGGCCATTATTAGATATTACTATGTATAGTTAGTTTTGTTAAAAGTACAGCTTTTTAAATTATAGATGAGATCCGTGGATTTTTGTTATTTTTATGCCGTTAAGCTTCGGGATGCACTTTGTTATGATCTTCGAATTTTTTTCGAACCGAAGTTGCGAGGATGGTTATTACAGAAATACCGTGGTTTGTAATACAAGAATTACATTCCAAATTACAATTTTTATGAATTGTAAGAACAATGAAGGAAACTTGGATAAATCATAGACACTAAATTTTGCATCATCAACACGGACGAACAACCAATGATTTGGTTATCGAATGAGCGATCAGCCACACAAAATTATCCGTATTGGAAACAATAACTTAAAATGAAGCACGACTTTTTTTAGTTTTCTTCACTCGTGGGAGCCAGTGTACTTGTTATCGGGAACTAAACTTCTTTTCCCGTAAACAACTTTTACTACAAATATCTAAGAAACGTGCAGTTTCTAACATGTGCGAGTGCTAATATATGAGGTTCGCGACACAGGATTCATAGTCTTGCTTGGTTCATATTATGTACTAATGAAATTTTTTCGCTAAAAGTTTTTTGAAAAAAGTGTTTTATTGTTTCTTTAAGTGGTTTTTCTTTCAATTTTCGTCGGCTCAATTTCCGGTGTAAAGAATATACCAGCTAAATGTATCATCTAGTAGAGCTTGGTAGCTCAAATTAGGCTGCGCGGATCGTATTTTGCTCTAACTTAAAAATGCAAAAAAAGCACTATTGAAACAAGTTTTCATGTTTTTTTTTTCACATTAGCTTTAGTTTTTGTGAGCCGTGTTATAAAAAGATCTGACCAAAACATAGAATTTAGACATATTGGATAGTCACCGTAAAAAAAAGTAAAATCGGGCAACAGTTTTAGTCGAAAAATAACAAAAAAATTGACAGAATTTCGTAGAAAATTTTTTGAAATTTAGAAGTTTTTTTATTCCCAAGAGAGCACCAAAAATCTTCGAAAATAATTTTAATGGAATTAAACTAAATTGGCGTGGCTTATCTTTCTATAATATGCCTGCTCGTTTACTGTGTTTACTCGAAATCACACTAAACCTCAAAAATTTCAAACTGGTTTTTCTCGACACTGGGACAATTTTTTTGAAAAATTTTAAGCGTCGTTCGAATCGGAGCTGAAAGCACTTTAACATGATGTAGCACTACACCCATTACGATGATTATTTGCGGTAAATCCTTTTGGATGAGTAACGGAATAAGCCTGCTTGCCCACCTTATTCGCTCGAAATTAGACCAAGCAACATTTTTTCAAAGTTTTTTTAGTGTCGTTCGATTCACGACTGAAAGAGCTTCAATATGATATTTCACTTGACCCATTCCGATGGTTATTTGTGTTACCTGATTTTTTGTGGAAAACAAGGAGAAAGAAGAAACAAGGATAGCCGGTTACTGTGTTAGTAGTGCAGAATTTTCCGACCATAGTTTTTAAAAATCTACGGTGTGATCAAAGGATGTGACGTAAAATTATAATTTGGGTATAATCGACAGTCATAGTAAAATAGGCAAACAGGATAACTTTTTTCAAAATGACTATTGATTTTCGAAATCACTATGACTTTTCATAATGACTTTTCAAAATTCAAAAAAAAAATTCCAATTTTATTGCAGTTTTTTTTCTGGATTCCCTACCCTAGCTGTCATTAAAAATCTCAAACAATTATTTTAACCTGAGTAAAATTTAAAGTAAGCATAGCTGAGCTATTGTGAACGCCTAAAGTAAGCATAAATAGGCGTGCTCACTCTCTTTACTCGCTCGAATTTAGACGAAAAAAATTCAAACCGCCTGGTTTCTTAACCCTGGGAAAACTTTTTTGAAAGATGTTAACATCGTTCGAATCACAATATAAAAAGCTTTAATATTTTGTATCCTTCATCTCTCTCCGGTGATTATTTGTGGTAGCTGATTTTGTGTGGCAAACGAAAAAATCTAAAACACATCTGAATACGAAATTCCTCCCCATTTTTCAAATGGTCGGAACGAAAAGAAAAGTACTGAAACACATCTGAATAAATATTTTTCTCCTCACTCCAGTGATCGGAACAAAAGCGTCATTTTTTCATTTCAGATTTGTTTTTGTTTTTAGATTTTGAAAGAGTAGTACATTCAATTAAAGATGTTACGCTCAAAAAGTTCAGTTCCGATTGGTTTTTTCTTTCTTTGCATTTAAATTTTAGCTTTTTACCCTTTCGAGAAGCAAGGGTATGGCAACCGGGTACTAAGTTTTCTTCCCGTAACAACATTGCTTCAAAAATGTGCAAGGTAAAGTTACACTTTTTTCAATTTGTTTCATAAAAAATTTAAAATCAATCAGCTATCCAGCGCAAAATTATTCTGCCATTTTTTGAACAAGTTATTTAAAAATCAAGTTTTTAACAGGACAAATTGTTTAAAAAACGTCTACGTTCCGAACCGATGATGGACTCTTT